TTAACTTTTTAGGATTTATGTCTTAATTCTAAATAACTGACTTCCAAAGAATGCTTTCTAGAAACTCAGAATTTTGTCATGAATACTGAAGAGAGTGAAAAATGTCATTCTTTATTTCAAAAAATGTCCTGTTCTGTCTGATCGGGAAATGATGGCCCGTGCCAACGCCCGGGATGGGAGTGAATCCCGGCCTGGAGTGCAGAGCAAGGCGCTGGTGCTCTCTGCCTCCTGGCCCTCGGCTCTCGGACGCGTTCCCACAGCTTTCCTTCCTCCCCAAGGCAGGGGTTTCGGAGCCCTCGTCCTTCTTGCCCTTCGCTTACAGACTCCGCACACAGCTGTTCTGGGGTCTTTTGTGGTTTCTGCACAGTGGTTTTCTTAAGAAGTAGCATACCACAAATAAAGGAAGAAGTTGAAGCAGATGTGTAGGTTTTGCAGAAACATCCGCTAGAAAAATGATTGTTAATTTCGACGGAAGGTGGTAGAACAGTGACTTCAGCTAGAAGCAAACAGAAAGCAGTATGCAGGGTGCACAGGGTGAGGAAACCGATCTCAAAGAAGGTGTATCTGTGGTGGCCAAGTGTGATGGAGACCAAGAGCAGGGGGCAGATTTTTGAATTATGCACAAATCCTACCGCTGCGTGGAGATTTCCCTCTATGCAGCTGTTCTGAAATCATAATGGTTACCATAATAAGCGTGGTAACCATTTTCTAATATTTTCACAACATTCTATTTCTCTCTGTAGTTATCTGAAAAATATGCTAAATAAAAAATAAAGGGCTGACCAGATAGGTCAGCGGACTAAAGCGCCTGCTTAGGCAGAGCGCAAGGGTCAAGGTTCGATTCCGGGACTGCCGTGCTGGCCCAGCCCCCGGGGCCCGCTGAGACGGCAACTGAGACTAGGCGTGGTGGTGCGTGTCTGTAATCCCAGCCCTCGGGAGGCTGTGTAGTGAGACCCTGTCCTAAATACATACAAAATTTAAAAAATAAATAAAATAAAATTCCGGGAAGAGTTCTGGAGGAGACTGAAGAACAGTCACCCTTCACATGGAAGATAAATTGGACTTGTTTATTCTGTCTGGAAATGTCAGCAGTTAGATATATTAGAAGATAATACTGTCCTAAACTGAAGTTATAAATATCTGGTATGTTTTATGTTATGAAAAAATAAAACATAATTTCATAACCAAATAATAAAATAACAATAGTTAATGCGCTGTATATCGTTAACTTAGAATAGAAGACATAAACCGTTCCTCCTTCTTTTTCCAGGCTGTGATTGTTTTTAACACAACACTACAGTCATCGCTTCTCCTCCATCCGGGAATCTCCACAGTGCTGTCCTCCTCAGCGCGCCTGCAGGTTCATGAAGGTGTTTTCCCTTGTGGTTTTTAGCCATCTATTTTCTACTAAGAGAACAAAAGCGCCAATTAAAAGCGAAAGTTGAGCGAAATTTCTGTTTGTCAGAAACTCTTATGTAAGAAGATTTCTTTTTGTTCTGATGAATATTTTTGGAATGGAGGGGATGTCCCTGCTAAAATGGAATAGCTGAATCCCTTTAGCGCAGTACTGAGTTATAAAATGCGAGCGCCCCCTGCTGGCCAGTGCTTGCACGAACGCGTCCGATCTGCAGAGAGCTGTCTTCACATTGCTGCGTCTCTTTGCTGTATGTTTTATTTCTGTTAGCTTTCCCGCTCTTCCTCCCTCTCCTCGTTCCATCTTCCTTCTTTGCCTGCCCCCACCCAGTCTCTTCCTTTTCTTCTTTCTGTCAGAGTTATCAACGTCTTTTTCCTGGAAAGGGCTAGAACACGCATTTTAAGGTGTCTTTTCATCTTAGGGGTACAAAATGCTCCCAGCTTCAGACAGGTCCCGTTGCCCTTGGACAGTGAACAGCTGAGAGGGGGGAGGAAATCTGCGTGTGTCCCTTGAGAGAAGGATGGGGGGAGGAGGGGGAGGAGGAGG